TATAACCTTCGCGGAAGTGCAAGCAATATGTTGACCAAGTTTTATTGCAATCTGATGAACGGTATGGCTGCGCATAAAATAGGAACTAACAATTTTTTTGTATTAAGAAAGCAGACTTATGTTGGTTCATCGAGTCAAAAGTCATCCATCGGACATTATATCAAGGTCATATTCGGAAAATGTGTCATTTTAAATCGTGAATACTTGACTCAGCGGAGATAAGATTATTTCTCCTTTAAATACATTTTCTGAAACTATAAACGGAACCCTCGTAACATTATAAATAAGTAATCACAAAAAACTATGTCGTCTATCGAGGGAGACGACTCAAATCGAATGAGTAATATCATAATTTGGGTGACGGAGCAGGGTCACAGCAACGTGTTATTACGCGCAAACTGTTCGGTTACGCGCGCCTCGTTGAGTAATATTTTAGCGCGTAATGAGTAGTTATGATTTTTTTTAATGGAACTCAACAACGGATATACTTTTTATTGGCTTGTAAGATTTCTTGACATTATAAATTCGTTTCGGTGCTATTATTCGTTAATATTTTTTTTAAGTATTTATATGCATTTTCAGTGACACAATTATAAAAACTAGGATCTGACGTGGATTTAAAACCAAGAACCGTGACGCAGTAGCGAGGTACTTTGCCCACTACTAGGAAAGCGTTCATCATATACAATCTATTTAAATTCCTATAATCTAAGATAAGTACCTACTTGACTTAAATATCATTAAAACACGGGCAGCTATAACACGTCCATTGCAAAACTTTTACAAGCTAGCGAAATTTATGTTTTCTTTAGAATTTGTATGTAATTGACGAATTATATGTTTTCACGAATTATGTGTAGATAAAAAAAGACGTCATAGATAAATGTAATCAAATAAACATCTCATTTGGTATATTTAAATAAATTTAAAACTAGGTTTGGCTGAAAAAAGAAAATGGACAATGTTTTGGGATATTACGAAAAGAGACAGATTTAAATTAATATAATATTATATACTAATTTATTACCTTTTTATTAGATATTATATCTAATGAAATTAGTAATTAATGAGATTAGCTAGCTAGAATAAATTCCTAACATATATAGACACTACTTATTGACAACTGTGCATATAAAAAGGAAAAATATGAGGTACAGTTATCCGCAATTACGGTCGCAAGTAGGGATTGATTTCCTTTAACTACCACCTTTGCAAAAGATCGTGATCAGTTCATGTATCATTCAACGATGAATACAATAATGACCCTTAATGACACGTGGGGCGAGAACTGTCGCAAGAAAACTATGTGACCTATTATACTTCCTTGTGGAACTATCGTCATTATTAATGAGCGAGTTTTTTGCCGATACTTTTTTCGAACAATAATCAAACGGTTATTATTTTAACATTACTTTCCTTCGTTGTAGTTTATTAAATTCCCTGCTAAAGGTAGGTCTCCCCCATAAATTGCCTCGTAGGGGGTTTACCATAGTTTCCACGCAGTTTTTTTTAAGATTTTAGTCGTTATTAGGGAGACACTGCCGCCATTCTTCTGATTTTTTCCTCCTATAGCCTCATACGACACCCACGGGTTGACTCGAGGTTACCGCCACTTCACAATTCCTTTCCTTTGTATTATTATTTGCTATTGATACTGCTATGTTATGGTAAGTGGATGTTGCGGCCCATAGACATCTAAATCTATCCTCGATTGGAAATCAATATGCATATGCCTTGTCAGTTCTGACTTCTGAGGATTAAGGTGTAATGCATCGGTTTCCGGTAAAAAGAGTCTCCCGTTCTCTACGTTCATCATACGAAAGCTAATAGCATTAAGCTGCTATTTCACGCTGGTATTCCTTGAGACCGTGGTCCTACTGCACATAAAAACACAATAGGCTATAATATGATTTTTATTACGTACGTCTTACTGCAGGAGCATTATGGGTTATACCGCTGCTATATACGCTATTCTTACGTGATAGACATTGCAGCTTATGGATTTCTTAAATAAGATTGCAGTGCCATCGAACTTATAGTCAACCTAATGAAAAATTACTAATGCGGTCGGTGTACATTGACGCAGCTAACTTCAAGCAACGATGGCTACACATGAGTTGTCACCTCTGAGGCTGTGAATGGACTGCGTCTGTATGCTCTTCAGAACGGAATAGCTGTGCCAGCACTGCTTTTTGGCGCGACAAAGGGTAGTTTATGTAAAAAGGCGGTAGTTTATTAATGGTTTTTTCATTGGTAGTTTAGGTAAAAGGGTAATAGCTACCCAGATGGACACCTAGTAATTCTACCATCTGGTTATACTTACTTTAAGATGTATTACATCATATTTATATCAAAAACAAACAACTTTATACATATATTATTATTGAAACTTACCTAATAATGCAAAATGAGAATAACCAATTCCGAAAAAAATCCTCGCATGCTAAAATAAAAATATATGACGCTATAAATACTGCAAGCATAGTAGAAAGGAACTAAAAGTTTTAAATAGACCATTCAAAGCGCGTACGAGTGGCACGTGAGCAGGGGTCGGACTAGAAAGTACATAGATCAAATAGAAGACGCACTTGAAGATTAGGTACCCATTTGTGCGAGATTGACGGTCGTGGAGTAGCAGGTAACCAATGAGGGGATCTACGAATCTTTCAGATGCTGTTTGGTTGAAATATAAATCGAATACAAAAGACGGACAAATATATTTAGAAAAGTAATGTTGTCAATGATAATGCGTATAAAATGTGAAGTCAAGGGCTGTCACTACGTTCTACTTCTAGGCACAAGCATTTTCTCAGTGTAGGGGCTATAAAGCATTAGCAGCTAGACTAAAAAGAGTTTATAGCGCGAGTCTACTTGTAATTGGCGGACTTCACTCTAATTCAAAATGTTTCCAATTACTTGAATATGAAGGTTGTTTTAACTTCAAATAGTGGTAAAGCAGTATCTACTTATAATTATTGGTAACAATTTGAGTAGTGCCGATGATTTAAGTATGAGGATCCTTTGAATTGAGAATTTAAGGCAAGCTTGGTCTCAAAAAAATAATAATCACTGCATTATGATTCCTCATATTGTCATGCGAACTCTATACATTTATATAATACTAGTTTTTACAGATTTTATGGCGTATATTATCTTTGTTCCCCCCCACCCCCCCCCCGTGACCATAAAGTCCTCGAAACATCGGGAATATGAAAATAAGTTAATAAACGTGAGTAAATCCTTAAAAACTAGTGTTATTTAAATCACTGCATTGCATAATATGTAGTTGATAGTATGATTAGTTTTCCCTTAAGGTTCTTATATACCTAATTAACCAATTTAAAGAAGTTGTAACTCAAAATTTATAAAGATACGAGTACGAAGCTGTTACAATACATTCTCTCAAACAAAAATCCCTGCGCCTAAAAGTAAACGGTTTACATACTTTTCACCTTTTACTCAGTTACTTTACCTCATTTATCATTATTGCTGTTTTGAGAGAAGTGTGAGAAGAAAAGGGGGGTGTGAAAAAAGAGGAGAGGGGAAAAAAGAAGTTTGGAGATCGGGTATTATGGGGGGGGGGGGGGGGGTTTGTTGAAAATGGGGGTGGGGGTGGTTTTAAACTAAATTAATGGATAATTTGTTTTTATTTTTACCTTACCAAAAACCGTATACATGTAGCCAGTATTTAAAATGATTTTTCCAGTTGTTTTATACGTAGTTCTTGACAATCTTTTGTCGGATACAGACATGCATTTTTCAGATCGCAAAATAATGAACAAGCCGCAAAGCTCGGTACTTCTGATGAATTGCAACTATTGTGTGCTGGCGATTCGACGAATTGCGACCAATTACGATTGCTCCCAATGAGTTGAGAACTGCATTGCATCACTAGCGGAATTGTTTACAATAAAATGTACTTATAAGAAGTGATGGCCGGCAATTAGAAGTGCGCGATAAAATAACACTGGAAAATTATTATGAAACATTATGATGTTTAATAGTAGCGGTATAATATAAATAATAGTCTTTTTAATGCAGCACAAAGTTAATTGGAATATCAGATCTATATATGAAAAATTTAGCTTTTATTTATATCAAATTATCGATAAAGGTATATTGAGCCATGGGTGTCGTAATAGGCATATACCTGGTAGAGCCACGGTGCAGCTATATTATGGTTGTAGCACGAATGGGTCGCCTCGACCGGGGAAGGACCACGCTCTCACAGAATACCAGCGTAAAATAGCAGCTTAATACTGCTATGTTTCGTATGGTGAGTGTAGAGATCCGTAATCCCTTTTTTACTGGAAACGAGGCATTCCATCTTAGTCCTCATGGGTGACAACGCATCTGCGTTTTGATTCTTAATCGAGGATAGATGTAGATGTCTATGGGCCACAGCATCCACTTACCATCAGGTGGACTGTGTGCTCGTTTGTCACCGTTATTCTATAAAGAAGACTACAGGGGAAATCAAACCAGGATATGGCCAGCATCGTCTCCTTAGTGACAACTAAAGATAGCAGCCCCCCTGTCCGGTGTGGCAACTATGGCAAATATCCCCCTCTGAGGCAATCGATGGGTGAGGTCTACAATGACAGTATATTGAGTTATACATAATTTACTTATACGGATGTTTCTTACTATTTATGCGTTAAAATGCCAATTTTCGCCATGATACATTACCTACATAGATAATCATGGTAAATCATTTGGACATAAAATAAAATTAAGTTGAACTCAATCTTTTAAATGTCATTATATTATTATACTTTCAATTAGGATTAAGTCTTTTTTGACATAAGTGGTTAATACGCAGGTGTAAACTTTCAGTCAATGATAATGATAATGAGGATTTAAATCCATCCCAAATCCAATTTTTTCATTATAATTGAGCTTTTGAGTCAAAAATTTGGAAGCGCAGTACTTTTAATTACCTCTCGACAATTTGAAGCCCAACGATCAAGTTCCTAAGCTGTCTAAAGTGTGTCACGCAGACGATCCTGAACTCGATGCACAAGTACCAGCCGAGGTTTCACCTGGTGCGCGCCAACGACATCCTGAAGCTGCCCTACTCCACCTTCAGGACATACGTCTTCAAGGAGACGGAGTTCATCGCTGTCACAGCGTATCAGAACGAAAAGGTAACTAACTCTGTTCGCATTATACTTTTAAGGATTATTTAATAAAAGTTACATTAGCAATCGAGTACACAGCCCACCTTATGATAAGTATGGTAAATGGATGTTATAGCATTCACTTACCATGAGCCATAGCCCATCGACTTATGTATATTCAGTTCTCGATTCGGAATAAAAATCTAGATGCATTCTCATTTCTAAAAAATAAGATAGAATTTCCCGTTACAAGTAAACACAGTCTCATGTTCTCGACTGTACGAAAACGTCATAAATATGATAATTTTCGCTGATATTTTTGCAAGCATTCTGCCCTCATTAAACCGACGTATTAGTGCTGCAGCCACATTATAACTACAGTGCAGATCCATCTAGTAAAATATATTAGTAATTCATTTCATTAGTACATTTTCCGTTTTACTGTTTCTGACGTCAGATAGATTAGTATAGATCTCTAAGAAATATCTACAAAAAGATGACGACGCTCTGTTGAAGAACGTTGAATTCGAGAATAATTACAAATCTTCTTGTACTCGGACTTGACGACATTAAACTTTACAAACAAATCTGTTTCCAAAAATAATTTAGAACTATGGACCTCACTTTGTACTTATTTCCCCAATATCCTAATTCTAGATGTTACAGGAGTTCCTGGGTGTTGAATACATTTATTTAAATGTAATCAATAATGAAAATCTTGCTTTTATTGTATTTGCATAAAATTCAAGAAATTTTAAGGTGAAATAAAATTTTTGCATTGAGAAAATAAGGCAAAAGGACTGATGTGTAACGTAATATTATATGATGAAGTATTGAATCGTTATGACCGATTGTGTGTTCCACTGTTCTAATTTCAAATTTTTGATAGACCTGGGCTATTTGTCACTGTTGCGTTTCGATTTACGGTAGAACAAGTAAAAAAGAAAAAGAAAGAAAGAAAAAAGAAAAGTAGAAAAAGTAAATCGAGTCGATCGTACCCTTCGGCAGATTGTACAGAAGACCAAAGAGTACCTAGGTACAGTCTATTGTGGTATTGCAGTCTCTTCACTGGCGTCAAATTTAATGTTAGTTTATGGTAGTACATAGGATTTTGTATAGTAAGGATGATGATACAATGTTAAAACAAGCACATAATCAGACAATGAACACCGATAGATTTCATTGTCTGATGCAAAGAGGACTCCTAAATAGGTTAAATTGATACAGGCCTGACAATGGACTGTGAGTTAAATGATGACTTTCATAATCAAACGAATGATCCCTTAAATACTTTATAAAGGCGACAGTTTTCTAATTCAATCTTTTTTTTCAGATAACACAATTGAAGATAGACAACAACCCGTTCGCCAAAGGCTTCCGGGATACAGGCGCCGGCAAAAGAGAGAAGAAGTAAGTATCTAACCTTTGGCACATTCTGAATTACTTGTACTGAATTAACGGTGGTCACGCTATCGTCAATAGAGCAATTTTAATTTTAATCTAGGCCACACGAACAGCGTTCATAAATATATTTCATTAATATGTTGCATCTAAGTCAAACTCCAATTGAGTTTAAATATTCAAAATTATTTAGTGACGACTAGCCATCCATCCCGGATTTTCAGGGATGATTTCTGGATCTCGCCAACAGCGCCAGTTATCGGATTCAAATGTGAACTTAAACTATCTAAGGACCATTTAAATACACACAAAAATTTCATCAAATTCGGTCGAGCTATTTTTGAGTTTTAGCGAGACTAATGGACATCAATTAATTTTTATACAGAGATTATATTTCCGAACGGTTAAACTATCGAGATTTGTCAAATATCCAAATATATAAGCGAATCCGGCAATCAGCTGCGCCTGGTAAATTATTTGAATTAGATTACATTCTGGACTAAAAGGCGAAAGATTAACGATATCACAAACGGAGCAAAGCTTAAAGCGAAGTGAGCGGCTAACAAAATTAGCTCGCTATCTGTGAATCTCCCCAAATTAATTAGGACACGAGCGCCGGCGTTCCAAATGCACCCGCCTGAAGTAGGGATACCTATAGCAAAGTTTCCTGAATTTCTCTTCCATTCGATTTATCGATTTAGCGTCATAAAATTTTAAATCGGATTTCTGATTGTTTTATCAATAAATCGGGATGTTACATTTGATTTCACCTAATGTAAAGAAACTTTTGAAATAAGATCTTAAATAAATTCATTTAATTTCACCCAATGTAAAGAAACTTTTGAAATAAGATCTTAAATAAATTGATAAGTTTGTTGGGAAATCTACTAAAACATTTCAAAAGCATTCGATAAAGGTCCTAAATGCACAATGATGAATGACAGAATGGTTTTTAAAAATAAATGCAAATGCATTTATTTTTTCATAAACACTCTTAATAAAATTACTTAAATCTAAAAAGAACTATATAAGGGTTTACACAGATACGTGCAAACATTGTGAACAACTCTGTACGTTGTATAATAAAAAATATAGTATGTATGTTGAAGACATATTTTTTTTTAATTTGACGTTATTTTGCTGTTGTGTAGAGTAGCGAACTGTCATCTATACAAAATATCAAACAGTTAAAAAAATATAAACCAGTTATTACTTACCATTTTGTTTTGGTGAGTTATCGCCTATTCAGAAGCCTTTAAAGAGTTAAAATGTTATATTAGCCATATATTAGCACTGTTATTATAGTCTCCTTATTTGACGAAAAATAAATTTTATCAACGTGAAAACTTACTATTTATAGTCTGTCTTGTATCTGTTCAAACTACTGTTTATTTTTTGTGATTTTGTTGCCATAAACGAATCCCCGATTTTATAATTATGTTAATCAACTTGGGGATTCGTATAAAGCATGCCGAATATGCCGAATAAATCCAGGTTGTATTTGTAAATGCATAAAAGTAAAAAGAGTAGAGTTACAGCCTATATACGTCCCACTGCTGGGCACAGGCCTCCCCTCATTTCTGAGAGGGTTTCGGGGCAAAGAAGTGTCCGCCGCGCTGCCCCAATGAGTGTTGGCGAACTTCACATGTCCTCAGACATGCAGGTTTCCTCGCGATGTTTTCCTTCACCGCCGAACACGTGGTAAATCAGCACCTAAAATTGCAATTAACAATTTAATTGGTGCCGGCGGGGATCGAACTCGGATTACTCGCGTTCTGTTATATTTACAGTGAGCGTTAACCATCTGAGTTACCACGGCAATGCATAGCTAAGTCTATTACAGAACGGATGTCAATTATTTGAAAGCTTGTTGCACCTTTAAAATTGGAACAATAATTATCCCAAATCTATGACATAGAATTGTTAACCCTAACCGACACCCAACACGACGCAACGCCGTTGAAAATTCAAATTAAGCCAATCCGGCGCCTCCTTATTCGTGTTCCGCTCAAACATAGCGAGGCACTGCTCAAAATGGTGGAGTCATTCGACTTGGCGCTTTTTTTCCTAGCGTCTTTAGCGTGCAAGGGAGAAAATTGGATTTCCGCGATAATATCGACTTTGGTTTTTTTCTGGCGCGTAATTTGCAAAGTCTTTCAAATGTCTAACTCGAATAAAAACGCTATTAGTCTATGCGTTATAAATAAACTGAAAACTAAAAGAAATTTATAAAATATTTTCAGGGATTTGACCCTCTTTGAACTACAAGGTCTTCGTCCTTAAGAAATGTAATTATACTTAGTTTTTATCATCAAATATTTTGTTATCTCATCACTACAAGAACATCCTAAAAGTTATTTCCATTGATTTATACTCGTGTTGAAGATATTTTTAAAGGGAATTAGGTAATTTGTGAAAAATACACTCTTATAATAAATACGGATAGAGAGTACGCTTAATTCTAGAAAAGATAATAGTTTATTGAGCCGCTGCGCACCGTAGCTCCGGGGTTAAGCGCTCGTAATTTCATAGTACGCTAACAACCCGAGTTTGATTTCCGTCGGCATTACTGAAATTATTAAACTATGTGGTAGATCTCCTATTTGCCTAGATAGGTAGCTTCTGTCTGTCAAATACCAGTGCTGTTGTCCAGTGCTTGCTCTGCTATGTTTCTTTCTAAAGAGACATTTATCTATCTTAGTGCTCAAAGATGACAACGCGTCTACAGCCATCTTCATTTGCAGTTGGCTGCAGTTATCCATAGAATGCTGTAGCTACTTGCCATCAGGTGGAGTGTCAGTCTGTTTGCCACTTGTTTTATTGTCGGATTAAAAGGACATACGTGCTAAGGCTAAGGAAAAAGTAAGAGTATCTGATAAAGAAAAACTAATATTTAGTAACATGATGTGAAATCTGCCAACACGCATTGGAGCTGTGGCAGTCCCATAACTCACAGCAATGAGAAGATGCCTATGGCCGCCAGTGTGACTGTAGTCTTCACTTTTTGGATATTATGAATTAAATAAATAAATAAACAATCACGCCACCCAGAGGGATAGGCAGAGACTTTGGACTACCATTTGGCACGATCCTGACACACCTCTGTCGCCCCCTTTACCTAGTATTCTTATTCCTTTTCCTAGTATTCTTAATCTGACCCTATTTCAATGTATCGCCAATTAATTTGTTCGATAACAATTATTATAACTTTAAACCTAAATTAAGTGAGGGAACTTGTGAAAGATGTGTTTGAAAATTGTTTTACAACTACAAACGAATTCAATAACGTCAATGCTTGAAAAATCTATTCAATGTTCTTGTTATCTATTTTACCAGTTTATACCGCATAATTTAAAGCTGTAAACGCAAGTGACTTAACCCTTTAATTGATATGAATTTTATACTCATAAAGCTCGACGTCAATTTAAAAAATTATTAAAGAAAAAGATCTCTTTTAATTTAGTGTTATAATAGAAAGGGGCAGCTATAGTGATAGTTAACATTTCATTTGAGTAAGGGAAACATAACGATTATAAGATCAATAATCTCTTAATATATATAAATTACGTGTCACGTTGTTTGTCCGCGGTGGACTCCTAAACTACTAAACCGATTTTAGTCAAATGTGCACACCGTGTGAAGTTGGTCCAACTTGAGAGATAGGATAGTTTTTTTGCTCATTGAATTTAAGGCGAATTTAAGGATTTTTAATAGGACATGACAAATGGTCATCGAAAAGGGCAGAACAACGTCTGCCTGACAAGCCAGTGTATGATAAAATAATTAAGTAGATAACTCTACGATATCTCCACTATATATAGATATATATTTATCCAGAAATTAAAGGCGTTAACATTAATGAGACCGTCAAATTAGTTACATGTTATTTACTCTATTCCATTTTCGTTGTTTCATTATTACGTCACCTCTTTTGTTAATATATGTTTTTCCAGAAAAATCATGCAATAAAAGAATGTGTCACAGTCCACACATTAGCGGTAATTTCAAAAAAGCACACGACCTAGAGAGAATGTAATTCGCTTACTTAACATTTTGCACCGGAACCTGCCGCGCCACAGCTTCCGAATTAGAGGGCACCACGGTCGCTGGACGGCGGAAACTCATCTTTTCAAAATGGCCGCCGACCGGAAGCGCGGGAAACGTGAGCGTTTTGACAAACGCCGCGCTCGTGAAAAGCGGGGACACATGCCGTGCATATCTCATCATTTCCCTTTGTGCTGTAGGGTCGCCATACGATTTAAAACATACAGAATTTTTAATGTCTATTTGAAATAATTTCACGTTAAAAATATACTTAAGTTCATCAGATTTTGAATTTCAGATAACATTTTAGTCTTGTAAAATTTATTAATTTTTAAAAAATAATAGATATTCCGTATAAGATTGATATAACAAAATAAAATTATTTTTGCGGATTTTATCGCGTTTATTTCTAATAATTTTAATTTTCGATGTTTCGTGTGCTTTACAGCACTCATGGCTCACACTGAGGTGATTGACGTCCCGACGTCAAATTTAACCCAGAGTACCTACCTAAAATGAGTAGAATTAAACGCGATAAAATCCGTAAAATAGTTTTTATTTACTGTTTAGCGTTCGCGTAAATATATAATAAATTTTTTTTTACAAAGTTCTTTGTAGTACGTTTATAATTAATGTGGTCATTTGGATAAAGATTGTCAATATGGTAGCGGCGTAAGGTAATCCATTACCCCATTTCGTCATGAGGGTGTCATAAAAAGCGTCTATAGGAAATGCTGCAAAGAAAAAATTTCGAAAGAGTATAATTATGTCGTTTATACATGACGTAAATACCAGCCCCGGGCAGAAGCGTCAAATATACGAGACATTCCGTACTGCAGTCGTGATGATTTAAGCAAATTCTCCAAAAATGTGGAAAGATTTTTTTCAGCAGTAGACTTGCGGCCTGATGAAAATTTTTGAAAATTATTTGCAAGAAGTAACATTATTTATCATATATTTATCCA